CACACACACACCCGCACCCACACCCACACCCACACACACACCCCACACACACACCTACAGACATGCTTACACACACGAAGACTCACGCCCACACACTTGGACCTCCTCGTGTGCAGTTTGTCTATTATAAATTATTTATAAATAATCTTCCCAACCTACCTGGTTGAGTTGTCGGACGGTGCTACTGGTAGATCCTACTTCTTGACTTTCCTTAAGGTATTAGTTAGTGTCTTTCTGACTTTTTGGCACTGTGTGGCCGGTACTAAAATAAAAATTCAAAGAGTTACCACAATATTTCTCAGGTGGGTGGTTGGAGGGCGTCTCTGGTAGGTTCTTCTTCTTCTTTAATATTAATATCCCTCTGTTGTTTCTGTCTGTCTTACTTTCTCCCAGCACTTAAATGACTATTACTGTGTCGGTATGACTCTTTTTTTTTTTTTTACTTACTCAAACGTTATTCCTCACCGCTGTATATGTATGTGAAGCATGGGCCATCAATGAACAAGGCACAGAAAGGATTACAGCTTTCAAAATAAAATTTGACAGCAGAGCTCTCTGAGAGTTCCGGGGAAACAGAAATACAGAAGGAAGAAGTACTCGTTCTAAGAAGACCAAGTGTAGAATCACTGGCACTCCTCCACAGCATATTCTTATTGGGACTGAAATTGACCTACTTCAGGCATATCACTCAAGAAATATATTATTATCACCCTGGAAGCAAAGCTAGAAGGCAAAAGAGAAAGGGGGGGGGAAGGGGGAGACCTAATAAGATCGGGAATAGGTTATAGAAACCTGACTTGGAATCAGAACAGCTGTGGATGGCGGAATGGCACGAAACAAAGTGTTTTATTGCAGCTGGACATGTCCTAGAAGCAACGCCCAATTACTGGAAAATCTAAGAAGATAAAAGATTGATATAATGATCATTATTATGTCAGTGTACTTCTTTTTTACCTCACATTAAACCTCGGGAAAAAACAAACCAAAACCCATCAACTGAACCACGCA